CTCAGATGTCCCCTTGCAACACTGGGCCAAAACTGTGCTTTGTTTTGGCTTATTCAAATAATGCTAAATTGCTATATGTTATTAAAATGCTGCATATTTTTTCTTTACCATGAAAAACAACTTTAATTATGTCATATTAAGGAAACATTTCAAGCATCTACTTATAGAAACAAAAAGAATAGCTATATCAGCTTGATTCACAAAGCACCTAGAAATTTCAAAAGGTGGTATAAGTATTATGTGAAAGACAGTATGATATTTTAATGTGTTTCATATTGAAAACTAATACTAAAATTTTGTTTTAAAAGCACTTGAAACCATTTAAGAAGCAGGAAAAAGGAACTACATAAAGACACTTTTAAATATCTGAACTATTAATGATGCTGAATAAGAATGACATTTTATCTTTACCATTAAATAAGCTACCTTTCATTTTTTTGGAATGGTAATTAAAGTCAAATTTTTATTTGTAAAAAAAAAAAAAATTTAAAGCACCTCTCTGACACAATATTGTTTTTATCTGTTCTAACAAGCAAACACTAAGTACAATTTTCAAAATTATATGCCTTTTTCTTTGTTGAAATGTAATAAGAAATTGTGGTTGAATGAATGATAAACGAGTGCTCCATAACTGTATCTCTTTCTATTGATGAGGGCCTTCTGCATGTCTCTTGTGGTTTTGTCAGGAAATACAGAGCTATGATAGAATTCTTAACTTGCAGGAACTTTTTTGTACAGAGAACATAATACTGGCTGTATAATGAGATATACATACTTTATATCCCCCCCACCATTTCTGAACAAATTAAACAGGTTTAAACCCAAACGTTTTAAACTTAAAGTCATCATAAGTCCATTAAGTTGAATCATTTTTTGTTTATATATTTTTCAAAGATAAAAACATTCTTAGAGCATGGATAGAGCTGGAGAATATTATGCTAAGTGAAATAAGCCAGTCAGAGAAAGACAAATCCATATTATTTCATTCATATGTGGAATCTAATGAACAAACGATAGTAACAACAAGCAAAGTAGAGACAGACTCACAGATAGAGAGCAGGCTGACAGCTCTGGGGTGTGAGGGTTAGGGAGTGGAGGGATTGAGCAAAAAGGAAAAAGGGCTCATGGACATGGGCAACAGTGTGGTGATTGAGGGGGGGAGTTGGGTATAAGGAAGATAAATGGTAATGAAAAAAATACAATAAATATACATTTAAAATAAATAAGACATTGTTAGAAAATGTTTAAATGTGTGCAATTATAAGATGAATTCTATTTTAACTCTATTACTATGTCCTTTGTTTTCTGAAAGGATGTAGTTGCTCACACAGTGCTTTGAACTTTTTTCTCCCTGAGAATTCTATAGACTTACGTGTTTTCTTTACTTGCTTGTAATTATTGGCAAGGTGGCCGTGGAAGATACCAAATTTTAGCCTGTTAACAAATTAAGATGGAAGCTATGCCAGCCCAGTAGCACAGTTGATCAGCTCAACTAGGCACCATGGGAGATTGCTCTTGGGTTCAGTTTTCGGACACGAGGCCATTGCCCAAGAAACTGTCTTCCTAGGCTGCTGCCCTCCTCCTCCACCACCACCCATTTGCCACCTCAGAGAAGCAGTGCTGGACCAGGGCCTAGTCTTCAGTTTTCAGAAATACAGTTTTGTTGACACATGCAGTGTCAGGTTTTCCAGAGATCAGCCAGCATACCATTTAATTTGTTGTTGTTAAGAAAGTACGCCTGTGCAACAGGCCCTGTTGCATTCCATGATCTGGGCCTTTCCTCTGTGCAGACGTGAATGTGGAGGCTGCAGAGGGAGGAGGACAGTCTCCAGGCCTAGTTCACAAAGGTCCCAAGGAAACTTGATAAAGCATCTTGATCCCACAAGATGCCTCTGGTTGTTAAGAGTCTGGTCCTCTCCCTCCACAGTCCTAGATAAGCACTGCCAAATTCTGCCCAAGCTGTCTACATCAGTTATTTTCAGCCAGTTTGCTACGACACAGCTGATGGGCTGCAAGTTAAAACATGCAGTATCTTTAGTCAGAGACACTGACATCTTTTCCCTTAGATCGTCAAATTAAAAAATGACAGCAGCCAACACAATAGCCAGCTGGTGTGGATGAATCTAAATTATACCCATTTTTTTGTCAGATTGGCAAAAAATGTACTTTTTGGTGTGTCACAGAATTTTATTAGTAATTAGTTTAAGTGTGCCATGGGATGAAAAAGTCGAAAATCACTGGTCTTCATCATTCAAGTCTTGTTCTTCTTGGACTTGGACATTCTGTAAGGTGAAGATATCATCTTCATCTAACAGTTGCCATTTATTGTGTATTAATTTTTTTACAAATATGATGAGTGGGAAGTGCTAAAAGGAAGTTTGATATTTTCCAGAATTATGAGACTATACCTATTTGATTGGACTCTTTGTAACATTAGTTTTTCTCAGAAGAGCCACTATCAAGTTGTGAGTGACTGGCTATATTTAATATGAATGAATATTATATTATGTTTTAACATGGTGCATAAGATCTCATATTCAATATAATGTGTCTAGTACTGTCCACCTATTAGTATAGATTAAAACTAAGTCAAGCAGGGTCACCAACAGTCTTAACAATGTGACTAGTGATATGCCTCCTCTTCCATTCATGTTCTTCCTAATGTCTTAATAAACGAACATGCCTGGAGAAGGCTGCCTGCCATACTACTTTGAGTGATGCTTGTAGTGTAATGATATTGCTTGCTTCTTATTCAAGTGGTATGACATCAGTAAAATTGATTGCTTTGCCATCAGATAAACAGGTTTGCATTCAGTTTTTGTTTTCACAATTGGTGATTGATGAGATGCATTAATTTTGTGTGTTCCCTCCGAGTAGCAGATACCTGTTACATGTCAGCATGAAAGTGTAATTTCTAACCAGGGATGATATAGCCAACAGGATAGCTGTCAAGGTGCATGAAGGCAGCTGACCAATGTACAGGCAGGAGCTGCTTCAAGACTAACAAGCTGTTGTCTTCAGTGTTGGTTTGCAAATCAAGTTGTTTCAAATGTATCCATCATTCCAAGACACCATCACCCAAAAATATGTATTGCATTTGATACATTTGTCTCACAAGTATGGTGCTTTGTTTGTTTGCTGTAAAACGAAGAAGAGGGCTATTGATGTTTTCATTGCCATTTCTATTTTACTCCTTTCTTTGAGGACTCCTTTCAGAGAAAGGAAAGACTGCTAGAGAGTCTCCAACAGACGTGGACCACTGTGTTCCAGAAGTGTCAGCCTTTGAACTGGAGATTGTTTTGACCCTTTTCTCCTCTCATATTCCTTTTCTTGGGATTCTACCACCTGAATATAACTGTGTTAATTTCATACCAGCATTAACTTTAACATTCACAGAAGAATGTTGGAGTGTGCAGCCATTTGGGTGCTATCAGATTCACAGGCCAACTCCTTTAATCTCGTTCCTAGTAGAGTGGGAACAAACTGTCCTCAATAAACTGTAAATTATCAGGGAACAGATCTTTGAGTTAGAGCATAATTGATCCAAAGTATCACAAAGCATTTTAATGTGAGAAATGTGCATTTATTTTTTTTTGACTCATTAAATTTTTCTTTTGCTGGTGTAATAGAATTTTGTTGCTTCAATTCAAAATGGGATGCCTGGAAGCTTTGTGATCCTATTTCCCCCCCACCCCAAAAGGAGCAAAAGAAATTTTTTCAGTACTTAATAAAGTTTGACATTCATATCTATCAATGAATTAAAAAATGTTTAAAAGGTGTTTTACCATATAGCATCTTTTTGAAGTATACCTAAAATTGTGCTTTGCTCTTCAGTTAGCACAAAGGCAAGCAAAAAGCAAAGGCAATGAGATCTTCAGGCCTAAGGGGTTTGTTGCAAGTAGGAGCCATCAGGCCTAAGGGGTTTGTTGCAAGTAGGAGCCATCATGTGCATTGTGTGTGAGCCTGGGTAAAAAACTGGTCTAAGCCAGCTCCTGTTCCAGCCATCACCCTTTTGCTAGAAAATTCTGTCTTCCTTCTCTACATTTAAGAAATACACATAGGAAATTGTTGGGTTTTTTGCTTATTAACAACCCTTAAGCAGATACTTAACCCTAACCTTGGTTTTTATCCAGGGTTTGAAACAAAAATAAAAATAGAAACTTAAAATTTAATGTAAACCAAGGAAAGTATTTTTCAAAGTTACTTTATTTATTCCTCTTTTGAAATTAGCCCATTTTCCAGCTAAAATTATAGAGATGCTATAAAAGGAATCCACTTGAGAAGTTGAGTAAAAAAGATTATTTTGATTAAGTTAGCAAACTGGATTTCCACCTTTTGTGATATATACCTTGATTTCTACAAGTTCTAATGATTTATTTCCTCTTTATTAAAATGATAAGGTGTCAATCGATTTGTGACTTTCTTAGAACTTATAGAATGAGGTATGGTGTTTTGTTTGTGCAAAGATCATTAAACTTGAAATTCTTAATTTGGAAATTTTTCCCTTGCATCATTAGTGATATCTCTTTAGTCTAATTATAATTATGCAATTGGCCTCCATTAAAGCTACTTAGAATTTGTTCCTAATGGAGTAAATCCCTCCAAATAATTCCGTGTTTCCTTAAAAATACATTTTTTGCTATAACTTTTTTAACAAAAAACTAAGCAATGTTAAGGAACTCACATTTCTATTCCTACAAATAAGACAATGTATGAGCCAATAATTTTTGTTTATTTGCTGAGTACTGGGTGATTGTATTTAAACAACAAATACTTGGCTTTATTCATCAAATTAAGATTATTAACTAAGTAATCAGAGAGTATTTTGTGAGAACTTCAAAGTTCACCACAGTCAGAAATCATGGACTGATTTTCTTTTTACAGGTTTCATGGTGACAGGTGGTATCCTTACTCAGTTAGAAATTAGGAAGTTTTTAATACAGTTGACTCCTGCAGTCGCCTCCAAACGCCAGTGGTAAATGATTGTTTCCTTTTCACAGTGCTCCAGCTGAGGCTGCAACAGAGGAGAACGAGAGAACAGCTAGTGGACCAGGGCATCATGCCACGTAAGATTTCAGTGTCCTTGTCATCTCTAGTGTGACGTAACAAAATAAGCATGTCCAAGAAGAACCTGGAGCACACTATACTCAGTTGTATCCTTGTACTCAAGTAGATAATTAATTACCAGATGAATGTATAAGGAAAAACCAGGCTTCAGCACTGCCAACTTAAGAGAACTATTTAAAACACATTTGGAAAACCAATGCTGATTAAAAGATGGACTCAAATTTTATATAAAGAACACCTTTAAAACTCTGCAATTAGGCTAACATCAGTTCCTTCGAACTGCAACATTTGTTTTAGTTTTAAGAAATTGAAATAATCACTCTACATAGGTCCAGTGTTACTTAGACTTGCAAAAGCAGCATGATAAAATTAACTCAAAATCTTATTCTAATTTAAATAATCTTTGCTAATGTATGGGCTATAATCGGTTAAGGACTAATAAACATCCTATTTTAATTAGTAAAATTTTTCTTCCCCAAGTACAGATATTTTCCACCTATCTTTAAGCTTCAGTCCTCCATTTTTTGCAAGTTGATTAATTTTAGAGTATTTGTCTAGGTTGTCTTCTTTACCTTTAGTCACCAAGTTTGAGGGTGATGTTATATTTTAGAGGGGAAGAGTGATTTTGTGTAGGTCATTAGGATTATTTATGGATTTTGTCAAAAAATTGATTTATCTAAGAAGTAAGGTATTTGGTTTTTAAAAAACTGAAAGAAATTACACAATGCTTTTATGCTTTCTAGTCTTCTGAGTCACTGATACTACCTTTTTTGGTTTATAAAGAACAGTTTTTCTCTGCGGTGGATTTTCCTTATTGAAACCTTTTTTTTTTTTTTTTTTTGGACTATTAATTATCTAAGTATTTTAAAGCTGGCATTGTGACAGAGTCAAAGCTTGTTTAGTAATCTGCCAGATTTCTCCACCACTACATTCCTGACTGGGCACAGGATCAATCAAATAGGATCAAATTATGATGTTTAAGACACCGCTGCTAAGCCAGTCGTAATCTGGTGGAAGCTGATCTGTACGTAGCCTGTCTTGTTTGGACTGGGTTGCTGGAAGTCTTTGCTATGCCTCAAGCACCAGAACTGACAATAGTAATGCTACCAAGAGCTGACTGGCCCAGTTTTAGAGATGACAGCCCAAGTAAGCATAGCCCTATATCTCACCCATATCATTTGACTGCCTGTAGCCATAGGTGCAGAGTGTTATCAGACAGTGGTGGACATACACATAACAGAATTTGCAAAGATGATTGGCAGAAATACTGTAGTAGGCAATATTTTAGTAAATAAACAGTGCTTACCCTTACCTTCTCTCTGGGATTCTGGAATATTTAATGTACTAGCAGTTAATGTATTCAAGACTTACTGTGTCCTTAGAGTGATTTGCATTGTGGTGTGGTAGAAAGAGCATGAACATTTCAATTCAAAATTCTAGATTTAAATTCCACTTCGACCATCATCTAGCTATATGACTTAAAGAATTCATTTTACTTTTGAGCCTTTCATCTGTACTGGGGTAATTCCTGCCTTGCAGGGTTGTTGTGATGACCAACAGCAATATAATTGTGATTGACCACAGAACACTGGGTTAAGCCTGTTATGGGTTCTCAGTAAATGACAAATCAGATCTGTGAACTATGGAGTGCAGAGTGTCCTCATGTTCAAGGTTAGATCACTCATGATTAAATGTCCTAAGGATATTTGGGTTTTTTCCAGTAGTTGATATGGCCATTAAAAGCAAAGACCTGTCAAGGAATCATCAAAGAGTTCCTTTATGGTGGCATAATATTTTGCCCAAACTATTGGTTGGAATGAGTCTGATTTGATACTTGCATTGTCATTATGTATACAACTCCATTTTATTTATTATTTTAGAGATTTTACTTATTTACTTACTGTTAGAGAAGGGGGGGGAACATCACTTTAAAAGAGAAACATTAATCAGTTGCCTCTCAAACACCCCCAGCCAGTATAATAACAACCATAGGCAACTGAGGCATGTGCCCTGACGGGCAGTTGAACTGGCCACCTTTAGGTTTGCGAGATGACGCTCAACCCACTGAGCCACACCACTTAGGACTACAACTCCATTTTAAATGTTCACTTGTTTTATTTGTACAATTTGTAATTTTAATTCTGAAACATTTAAGTTTCCTAATTTTGCAGATCTACTAAAGGAACTAGTAAATAAATGGAACTGTAGATGTGAACTAATATGGTTAAGAGGAAACATCAACAAGACATACTGTAACATTTGACTGAAGTATTAATTCCTCTATTTATACCGTGAAACCAATTTCTTTTCCTCCCACAGCTTTGAAGAGCCCAGCGGCATTCCATGAGCAAATAAAAAGCTTGGAACGAGCCAGAGTAAGAAATCTGTTTTAAATGTTCTAGTTCTCTGTTTCTCTCTTTTATTTCAAAGTGCCTGTGGACAAGTTGCAGTATATTTTCAGGATACATGGTATATAGAGTAATATATTCTAGGGTAGTTTTACTTGGAGGTTGGTAGAAAATACATGACTTTCAAATTTTGTTCTTTTAAAACCAGTGACTAATTTTGTACATAAAGGACAAATCATACTTTTTCACTTGCTTCCAGGGCATAACCACAGTTTTTAGAATAATAATGGAGTAATTCTGCAATGTGCTACCCCAGCAGATGGACACAGACCCTAACTGTGTCACCTGTACTCTTGACCAAGGGTGGGAGAGTCTGGCCGAGTGAAAGACTCTGCTTTATTCTTTGGGTTGACTCCATCGTAGTTACACATCTAATTGATATTTATTATATTTCTTTAAAATGTACATTTTTCTTTTCATTTTAAGGAAAACTTTTATTATGTTTTATGAAAAGCGTGTTCTAAAAATTTCTTTAGGGTTTTCTCAGGATGCAATAATGATCTCTTTGAGTCTTATAAAATATAAAACTCATTTTAAAACCCTATTGTTTGCAGCTGAATACAGTTCTGAGTAAGAAAATATGACCAAGGATATGATGAACTCATCAAAGAAAATACATGAGAAATTTTGAGGGAAATTGTTGCGTAGGTGGATTTTTCACTTGACCTGAAGTGATTTTATTTAGATTTTATTGATTTTCGTTATTCAAATAAGCAAAATTAATGTCTTTTCAAAAGTCAACTTCGAAATTATGAGCCTTTGCCTTTCCCAAGTTTTAAAAGAAAAGTCTATAAATTGATTACTTTATTCCAGTATACACTTCAAGTCCCTGTATGGTGTTGAAGGCTATAGTTTAAATCATGTATTGGATAACTGTTTCTCAACGTACTAATTTCTGCTCTTTTCTTACTCTCAAAATCATGGCCAAAAGGGTATCAATTAATTTAAATGGGGTGCCTTGAGAGAAAAACATATAAAACCACAATAAGTCATAAATAATTTATGGTAAGACTTTCTCTTTTTTCCCCTAAAGACTGAAAACTTTTTGAAGCACAAGATTCGGAGCCGACCAGATCGTTCTGAACTTGTCAGGATGCACATTTTAGAAGGTAAAATTTTATTTCTGCTTATTTTGTTGCATTTTCTCAAGAAAATAAGAATTCCACAATTTCTGTTTATACCTAATTTAATAACTTTTATCCCACAGGCTGGCATATTCTGAACTAGATGGCAACATATAAACCCAGTATTAAATGTTATGTTAGATACATGGGGAAAGTTTGATTTTCCAAATAACCAGCTGATAGACTGACTCTTCCCCACCAGCTGGTGCCATAGGTATTCCTACCATACTATCCTGGAAAAACATTTTTGGTCCAGAGGGTTCCTTCATCAGCGAGGGTCATGTACCCAATCATTATGTCATAAAGGGTACAATAGCCACAAGTCTAACCATAGATTTTTGGCTACTTGGACCCTGTTATTTCTGCTTGGTATGATGCCCACACTTAACATTTTCTCTCTGTTGCTTACCCACAACACTCCAGCTCGTTCTGACCATTATCTTAAGCACTCTCCACTCGGCCCACAAGATTTTCTCAATGATATAGCCTTATCACTTAAGAAGCTGGTAGGGATGATTCTACTCCATCTTTGGTGGAAACCTAAGGCCAGTATGTTTTCTCTCTAAAGACAGAGACATCCTTGAAAGCTGATATCTCCACCAAAAATTCCTCAAGTTGCATATTCTTTCATTGTTTTGCTTCTCTAATTGATCAAACAAGACTAGGAGCTTGACCCTGCAATACTCCTGAGTGTGTTAAACCTTGAGAAGCTACAGAAAGAATCTGAAAACTCAAATATTTAGACAAAGTTACCAGATAGAAGGAATAAGATTTGTTGTGTCTGGCCTGATGACAGACTTAGAATTAGATTGACATTATAAAGTGTTAGATCGTAGCTCAACATATTATTCCTAAAGGTCAGGCATGTCCAAATATAAAATCTTTAGGAAGCCTATGGTTGCTGTTATTGGAGGTGTTTATTCATCGGCCAGTGAGTTTGACACCAGAGGCCCAACAAGCTAGCCTGTCTTCATGGCGTTTACATTCTAATGGCACAGGCAGATAAACAGGCAAAACAAATGAATTATAAATTCAGAAAAGTGCTCTACAGGGAATAAATAGGCTGCTGTGGTAGGGAATAAGCACAAGCTAACACCACACTAAGGATGTTGTAAAGAAGTTCCAAGTGTAAAGCTTGTCTCTCTAACCCTGAATAGTGTCTCTTCTCATCCAAAGAATCTATGATTATGTAACTGTCTTCATACTTGGGGCAGGAAGTGAAAGCTCCTGCCTAATAAACTCTACTTTGGGTCATGTTCTCAGAAGTCCACTGGACTGATAAAGCTTTTCCAGAATTCTATTGGTAGGGTAGGAGCAACTACCAGCTATCAGGGATAAGTTCATCTTCAAAGAAGTAAGTTGACTCGTAAGTAGGTAAATGGCTGCTTCTCTGCCTGCAGACATCTTGACCTATAAGGGACATTTTTGTGCAATAATGCTCTCTGTTTCAACATATCTCCTAACTGTAACAGGCTTTCTTAATATAATTAAAACCAAGACAAATACGTAAAAGGAATAATATTTGCTTTTTATTAAAGAAGGCAACCCAACATTTAAAAACCTAATCATGTGCATGAGTGAACCATAAGCACTGTTTTTAGGACATCTATTCTCAAGTTGGGATTTTTAAAGTAAGAAAAATGTCATCCTAACTTTTAAATACCTTGAAAACAACCCCCAACTTATTTAACATTATCCCAGTTTTCATTGGATTGGATGTTTGGCAGGCAAAAGTCTAAATTATTTTCTGAAGGTTAGCAGCTAAAATCCAGCCTCAGCCTAATGGAAATGAGGTTGTAATAAGACTAGGAAAAGAAACATACCAAAATGCCAACCTCCAATTATTTATTTTTGGAATATTTTCTTTTCAAACATATTCCTGATATCACTTGGCTGGTATTTATGGGAGAGAAGAGAAAAACAGAAGACTATTCTACCTAGATCTTAACAGAAGTATTTAAATACCAATCTAAGTGTGGTGTGTATGATCTCATTCGCCCCACCTATCATCTTCCTGTATGGTTAGAAGTCTTTTATCTAACAAGATTGGGGCCACATTCAGTTAGTTACACAGGAAAATTATAAAAATGAGGTGACCACATGTTATTTTAACTTATAAAAATGTGCATTTATTTGCCAAAATTCTGACTGAGGGCTAGGACCTTCACTTTGGGGAAGGTTTTAATGAATAGAGTTCACTTTATTTTTCTTACATAAAGCACAACCATTGTACATTGACTACAATTTCAGTTTATGGTGGAACAAAAACTTAAGGGCACTTGAAAAGCAATCTGCACTTTAAAATCCTAGATTTTACAGTTTTTTCCCAAATATTTTACAGTTGTTAATTGCCCTAATTTGACAATGATTTTTTTTTTAATGGCTCACCTTCATCAAGTTGTTCCAAAGCATTTAACATAGGTTTCTAAAAAATAATCATTTTATTTTGGAAGTTTACTCTTTCCCCATAACATTTGGTTTTATTATGTATTAACAATAGCAATCCCAACAGACATGAAGTATTTTGTGAACAATCAAGGTTGACTTTTGGTAAGTATATAAATTAACTGGTGGAAAAAGAAGTAGAGACCTGTGAAGAACATGGGTTTGAACTGTACGAGTCCACTTATACCTGATTTTTTTTCAACTAATACTATTAATGTATTTTATCTTCCTTATGATTTTCTTAATATCAATTTTCTCTAGCATATTTTATTATAAGAATATGGTATATAATGCATATAACATACACTAAATATGTGTTAATTGGCTATTTATGTTATTAGCAAGACTTCTGGTCAACAGTAGGCTGTTAGTAGTTAAGTTTTACAGGAGTCAGAAGTTACATGTAGATTTTCAACTGTGTGGGAAGGGTCAGCACCCCTAATCCCTCTATTTTTCAAGGGTCAGCTATACTGAGATGTTCCAAAGAGTAGTTTAATAGCCACAGGCTTGCCCTGACCTTTGGGCTTCAACAAGGACATTTTACCTACAAAATAAAGAACATCAGTTAATCCTGAGAATAGTTATGGAGAATTTCATTTAAAGACATCCTGTATAATTTAAGAGGCAAGTAACTTTCAAATCAGAATCTGAGTTAACCCCTCATTTGTCTTTAAGATATCTTATTTATTTATTTATTTATTTATTTATTTATTTATTTATTTATTTATTTATTTATTTATTGGCAGAGGGGAAGAGAGGGAGAGAGGCATCAATGTGTGGTTGCCTCTCATGCGCCCCCAACTGGGGACCTGGCCCTGCAACCCAGGCATGTGCCCTGACTGGGAATCAAACTGGCCACCCTTTGGTTCACAGGCCAGCACTCAGTCCACTGAGCTACACCAGCCAGGGCAACATCTCATCATTTTTAATAAATTCTAAACATTATTTAGAACAGTGTAATAAACTGTTAGAGTTATGAGAAACACAAGTAACTGACAGAATTACACACATGAACAAGCTATGTTTATAATAATTTCACATCATTGTACAACTTCATGCATTTGTAAGTAGATGAGTTAATGCTTCTGTGTGACTGTTACTTATGTATAGTAATTGAATGTTCCTGACAGACATAAGATTACATATGCAGAAACAAACCCAAATTCTTAACTGTGATGATCAACTCTGAGACACATAGGAATCAATATAAGAATATGATTTGAAGCTCTTCTCATTGAATCCTGAAGAGACCTTTATATCCTAAGATACAATATCTCTACTTCCAGGAATTAACTTTCCAGTGAAGCCAAATCTAAAACGATGAACTTCTTGAGCCATGGACCACATCTGTCCTGTTCACCTTTATATCCCTGATACCTAACAAATGTAAATATGACCCTTCTACAATAAATAAATAATAGCAATACCCCATATTTGGCTCAAGTTCATGTTAATTTGAGTCTGTAGACATATTGAATAGGCAGTATAAAGCTATCCAGGACTAAAAATATAAAATGTGTACTGGAACGTTCTTAAGGAGCATTTTTCTTTTTCCACAGATATGTTAAGAACACATAAATATGTTTAAACTGGTTTAAATTAGTTGGCCTGAAATAGCATTATAGAATAGAGATAGTAATTTAAGTAATGGTTAAAACTATGTTTCTTCTTTTAGAAACATTTGCAGAGCCATCCCTCCAGGCCACCCAGATGAAGTTGAAAAGAGCTCGCCTAGCTGATGATCTGAATGAAAAGATTGCTCAGAGACCTGGTCCTATGGAGCTGGTAGAGAAGAACATCCTGCCTGTAGACTCCAGTGTTAAGGAAGCAATTATAGGCAAGACTCTCAAAATTTATTCTGGGGGAAACAAGCATGGCAGTTTTAGATAAAACAAATTTAATTTAAAAGACCAGCACAAATCATAAGTATTGTTTTCTGGGTCAATTAGAAATTAACACTTAACGCTGGTTCTATTATTATTATTACAGTCATCCTCAGTATTCAAGGTAGATCGGTTCCAGAATCCCCATGGATACCAAAATCCTTGGATGCTCAAGTACCATATATAAAATGGTGTAATATTTGCCTGTAACTTACCCACCATTCTCTCATATACTTTAAATCATCTCTAGATTACTTACAATACCTAATACAGTATAAATTCTCTGTAAATAGTTGTTACACTGTATTGCCTAGGGAATAATGACCAAAAAAATGTCTGTACATGTTTAGTACAGACGCAATCATCTTAGGCTTAACTACATCACACATGTCAGCAACAGTGTTAACTTTTTTAAAAAATATTTTTGATCTGGGGTTGTTTGAATCTGAGAATGCAGAACCTGTGGATACAACAGGTAGACTGTATATTAAATATTTTAAGACTAGCATCTTTTACCTATTCACACAGAGATTCTCCTTACATCTGAGGTTTATGTCTTTTAAGTTCTCATTTTATTACATTTTATAAGTTAAACTTATTGTATTATACTCTTTAGTTTCTATTGCTATATTTAAAATTTTATATAGTTTTCATTATTTTTCTATTTCTTCCGGGAAAAATAAAGAAAAATAGCTTGTCAGTGTTAGTTCAGCAAGGTTATAGATGTATTCATTATGAATGATAGTATCTGTCCATTTTATCTCACTCCTAACTTAGTTACTAATGTTTTCATTTTTTTTTTCTGGCATAAGCTTTAGCAGGAAGAAAAATTCCAGAATACTCTCACTTATTCAGCAAACAATTTTTAAAAGTTACTATCCTATTTGAAAAACTGTGATAGTTTCCATTACTCATGGGGACTTTCTATTTTGCATTAGTATAAGTTTCAATCTTAGGCAATTTGTAGTACATAATGAAAAGTAGGGCAATCAACTATGATCCCTTTCCATCCCAAGGAAATGGGCTCCCAACAGTAAGGTGTCGGTATAGCTGGGCGACTTCAGGAAGTGGGAATTATCAAGATACCCAGTCACCACCACATTTTCCCCATTGCCTCATAATGTTTTGTAACAGTTGGATTCCAAATCACGATCCAGACAATGTCCACACATTGACTTTGGCTGATAGGCCTCTTCAGTCTTAATCGTTTGGTTGGGTCTTTTCCTTTCTTTTCTTACTATTCATCTGTTGGCAAGCGTGCTTGTTCTATCTATCACATTTCCACATTCTGAATTTTACTGGATACATTTGCATCCCCAGGTGTTATTAAAAACTTTCTTACCTCCTCTGCTTCCTATAACAGGTAGTCAGATCCAAAGGCTTAATCCAATTCAGATTTGATTTGCTTGTTTGTTCGTTTCCCAAGTACTTATGGTAGGTAGTGGTGGGTTCTTCCACTGGGAAGTACATCATGTTCTTTTTTTTTTAAACAGCTTCTTAGTGTCTTATATTAAAAAAAAAAAAGCTTCTCCTTCTTTTTCATTTTAAGTTTGGTATTCCAAAAGCCAAAATAAGGATTTTTTTTTCTTTAGGCGTTGGGAAGGAGGACTATCCCCAAACTCAGGGCGATTTCTCATTTGATGAAGACAGCAGTGATGCTTTGTCTCCAGACCAGCCAGCCAGCCAGGAGTCGCAGGGGTCAGCCGCGTCCCCCAGTGAGCCAAAAGTTAGTGAATCACCATCTCCTGCGACTACCAGCACTCCAACCCAGGTATCATCTTTCTTGTTTTTACCCCTAAACAGAAAAAAATTTCTTGTTTTTTCTATGTCAAGTATGTATCTTGTATTTTACACACCAGTACATTCTTAAGCAGGTTAGTCTGAAATTGTGGGAAAATATCAATTTTTCACCTGTAAGCTAATCACTCTTAACATTTTTTAATGGATTCTTACATTTTATTTCTGTATTATATACCTATTTTTATTTCACAGTTTTGTAACTTTTAAGAATTTTTTCACATAACTTCTTTTTGAGGTATAATTCACATACTATAAAATCCACCTTCTTTTTAACCATCTCACGGTTTTAAAGTGCACAGTTCAGTAGTGTTAAGTAGGCTGGCACTGCTGTGCAGCAGATCGCCAGAGCTTTCTCATCTCGGAAAACTGCAACTATACCCATTAAACAACCCCCAGTTTCCCCTTGCCCCAGGCCCTGGCAACCACCATTCTGTTTCTGTCTTTATGAATTTGACTACTTTAGATATCTCATATAAGTAGAATCATACAGTATTTGTCTTTTTGTGACTCTTATTTCACTTAATATAATATCCTCAAGGTTCATCCATGTTGTAGTATGTGACAGAATCATCTTTATTTTTAAAGCTGAATAATATTCCATTGTATGGATTTACCACATTTTGTTTATGTGTTCATCAGTGTACATTGGGTCACTTCTACCTCTTGACCATTGTGAATAATGGTGTTATGTACATGGGGGTGGAAATGTGCCGTCAAAACCCTGTTTTCAGTTCTTTGTGGCATATACCCAGAAGTGGGATTGCTGGATCATATGGTCATTCTATTTTAATTTGTTAAGGAACCTCCATATCAGTCTCCTTAGTGTCTGCACCATTTCATACTCTCCACATCCTTGCTGACGCTTCTTAGTTTATGTTCTTTTAATGGTAACCATTCCAGTGGTGGGAGGTGATACCTCACTGTGCTTTTGATTTGCATTTCTCTGATGTTTAATGATGTTGAGCATCTTTTCATATTCTTGTTGGCCATTTGTATATTATCTTTGGAGAAATGTCTATTGAAGTCTTTTGCCCATTTTTTAATCAGGTTATTTGTTTTTCTATTGTTGAGTTGTAGGATTTTTTTATATATCTGGATATTAATCTGTATCAGACATGATTTGGAAATATTTTCTCCCATTCCATGTGTCACTTTTTCACTCTGTTAATAATATCCTTTAATGCACATACTTTTTAAGTTTGATATAGTCCCCTGTCAATAAATACATTCTTATCATTTTTAATTGCTATGTAGTATTCAATTGAACTGATATACTGAATCACTTTTAACCTATTTTCTATTGTTGGTTATTTGGTATTATTTCCTGTTTTTACTCATAAACACAATAAGAGCCCCTTCTGTGTTACCATGTATTTGCTACACCCTTTTTTAAAATATATACATTGTCAAGCACTTATTATTTCTTTGACTAATTACCAGATATTGAAATGGGCTTGAACCTTTTGTTGGGCAAAAGATAGACACTTTAACTGCCTTCCAGGAAGGTAATACTGACTTCCAGTCACTATGTGTTTACCATAAATAGGTAATATCATTACCTTGAATCCTGAACACCATTTGGATATTTGACTGTTTTAATTGACTCCTTGATTTTGGTTCGATTGAATTCATTTGCTCAACAAATATTTATTGAGTACCTATTATATGTCAGATGGTATTGGGAACAAAAGTCTAGTGCATGCAAAGGAATCCAATAAATATTTTTTAATAATTGCATTGGAAATTCACATTTCTTATTTCTCAGTGGGTGTTCATGTTTCTTTCAGTTTCACAAGAACCTCTATCCTTCATATAATTTCTTGTTCTTTCCTTATGGTTGTCAACTGATGGTCATTAGCATCAACTCTGTGCCTATAGGAATCCCCAATTTGGGGTGCAGTGAAGAAGGAAACTATTCAGTGCAACATAGCCCAGCTGTCATATAGCACAGCAGTGAAAACAGCATGGCTCTGAGGCAGTCCTATGGCCAGGCCCCTCTGCCCTCCTCCTTGCTGGTGTGCTTTGTGCTATGCTGCTCTATTTCACTCCGGTCTGCTCTGCTTCAGCAATGTATCTTTGGTGTTTTAGCTCAGCCAGGGAGACACAATTGATGTAAAAGGAAAATGCACACTCAGAGCCAGAGGAGAGTTGGCTTATATGGACAGAAGTCTTTATTCCTTGGCCCTAATTGGTCTGTCCTTATGCAGTGGAGGACTCCAAATCCTCGAAGTTTGATTGGTCCAAAAGACACTGTCCTGGTTGATCAGAATAGAGCCACTGTAATTGATTGGAGCTGCATAGCTCTGATTTGATGATGAAAGCCTCAGTCCTATTGGTTAAAATAGGATTCCAGGTACTCCTTTATAAGGGCTGGCTCAGATGGCAGAAATGCACTGCAGGCAGGCAGTTCAGTGCAGAGGGTGGCATTTCAGTGCTGGCTTCTCCCTGAAGTGCAGTTTGTGTGAGAGGTCCCTGTGTAGAAGTGACTGCTATACTCTTGGTTGGTTGATTGGGTGGTTGGTTGGTTGGTTGGTTGATCATTTGGTTGGTTAGTTGGTTGGTTGGTTTTTTTAATTTGAGCCCTGTTAGCCACTAGAAGTCCTTCTTAATGGGTATCTTCTTTCTTAGGGTTCACATGGTGTTTTTGACACTGAAATTTTAAAAGAATTTTGTTATTTTTTTAAAAGATTTTGTTTATTTATTTTTAGAGAGAGGGGAAGGGAGGGAGAAAGAGAGGGAGAGAAACATTAATGTGTGGTTGTCTCTCAAGAGTCCCCTACTGGGGACCTGGCCTGCAACCCAGGCATGTGCCCCGACTGGGAATTGAACCTAGACCCTTCGGTTCCCAGCCCACGCTCAATCCACTGAGCTACACCAGCCAGGGAGGAATTTTGTTATTTTAAATTCAAAACTATTGAGCTGCTTAATGAGATTGATGGAGTTCAGTAGAAAATGTTCTCATTAAAACCTAGCATCATAGAATTTTTGAGTTGGAAAGATATTTAGCAATTATCTGCCTTAACTCTTATACCAGAGAAGGCCTGGGTTCAGAAAAATTTTATTTTCTTACAGCATTTCTTCTCATTCATGAACATCTATTTGTTAGGTAGGGACTATGTCTTTCAACATTATTTTCTTGCTTGTACTTATCAGCATAGTCTGAAATATATTAATTTATTTGGGGGGGTTTTACACCTCTAAATGTGAAAATGTGAGCCTATGAGAGAAAGACTTTGACTCTTAGAGGGCAAGAGCTGTGTGCGTGTGATTGTGTGTGTGTCTGCATGTGTGTATGTCTTCAACATCTAGCACAGGGCCTGTTTCAGAAAAGGTGCTTAGTAAACATTAAATCGAATTCAGCACCATGAGAGCTTACTGACATCCAGCTTGTAGATGTGGTGTGTGTGTTCTTCATTTAAGAAGAGAGCCTCTCCAGCTTGGATTCATCAAAAGTAGTATGGGTAGCTGCAGTTCATATGCTCCTGTCAAAGTTTACAGGGCAAGAGTGACTAGCCCCTCAGGTTTGCTGGAACCTGACCTAGAAGAAGGATGAGGGTCAGTGGCCAGCCCACAGTCTGAGGTCTAAGCAGACAGAGAGGGAGAGCAAGGGAAACCAGCCCCTACTGTATTCTCACATTTTTGCTGCACCCTGGTTTTGAGCTTTAAAAATAGAGCTAAAAAGGAATGTCAAGTATGCAAGTAAATAACCTTAAAAAACAGTTCTACTTACCCATTTGGGTTGTTCTGTGTTTCTGAGTAGGTCAGAATATCAGACAGCTAATAGCATGTCCTTAGCTTTTAGTAACACAGAATTTCTGCCACCTCAGCCATCTACCTAATAATGACTTCATGACTGTTCCACCTGTGTAGGAGATTGTCATTCTCCTTTGCCCAGCATGGCTTTTACTATTAGGTTTTTTACTTTGCTCTTGAAATTTGGTCTTCAGCTAAGTTTGTAAGTCAGAAACTTTAACCAGAGGCAGTGCCTCCCAGTAGGCTGACATTCCAGAATTATTTGAAGGGAAAAAAGGTATAGCAGTGTTTCTTGAAGAATAAATATGCTCTGTTTGTTGCCAGTACAACACACAGTAAGCCTTGGGTCACTCCTGAACTTAAACAGTTTTTGTAACACTCTTCAGGGTTGCTGCAGCACCCGTTCTGCCTGCTGTGTGTTGACCCCTGACGATCTGCTCTTTAGTTGTCAACTGGGCCTGAGGGAGAAGACCCACTTTAGAGAATGGTACACTTCCTACTTACAACTTGAATAAAAGAACCTAGAATCAAAGCTGGCTAACTGCTGTTACATAATTTCTATATGATACACCTTGAGGCCTTCTTAAAATATGTCATTTATTCCCTTGTGTTATGTGTTATAGTATTTATAAATAAGGAATTCAGATTCTTATTATTTATATTTCTATTCATGCAGTTAAAGAAGCATCTCTGTGTTAATTGTGCTATATTGTTTTGGCAAATTTTGTATTTTCAGTTATCCAATATTTGTTTATAGAATTTATTCAGGTGTTTCACTTGATATATAAAAAAATATATTTATCTCCCTAAATATAATTACTTTCACACTTTTAGTTCCAGGGGAAAGTACCTAAAAACATTGCTTCTCATTAGATACAAAGTTTCCAATGGGCAGGGATGTCCCATCATTTTATCTTAGTAACTTCATACTGAACACACAGGATCCAACACATAGCAAGTGCTTATTGCCTTAATGAATGAAAAAGTCCCAGGAGATGGTCTCTGAAATATATTTTTTGCTGCTTTAGAATTATCATTATATCCCCACCAAAAGTCAGTCTCTTTACTGTTATTAAAATAGTCCTTATAAAGCAAAGATAACAAAAGAACAACATATTTTCTATTTTGGACATTCTTTGGGATTCTTAGTTTTTAATCTTTAAAATGGAAACTCTGGAAGATTTGATGGTGAATTTGGTTACTGTAGACCAGTGGTGC